GAAGATTTTGCTGCATGGACTGTTTTGACTGAGGCTTTACAATTATACATTTTCAATAAAGCTTGGACATACGATAACTCCCTTTCTTCCTGGCAAGTCTCCCCATAGCAAGCATAGACATTAGTCATTACTACAAAATTCTTTAATTTATACAGAAAATTTGGGTCATGTGTCTCAAAATTTTTCATTCCTTCATAGATGATTAGGCATGAAATAGTCTAAATATCTTTGAATGGAAAAATGCTGTTTCCATGGGGACTTTCGTCAGTGATCCTTGGTGCTTCCATCTCTATAAATCAGATGAGTTTGAATGATTTGGACTGGCTTGTCAGCATTGGAAAATTGGTTTGGCTTAGTGAGGGACAGCAGTGTTGGTCACTCAATTATTAGAAAATTGCTAACATGGGTTTTAGATATTACTATGTGGTTATTACTATGTGGGTTTTTTTTTTTTTTTTGAGCACAGTACAAGAATAGCCCACATAAATAGCCCACATAATAGCCCACATAAATATATTAAAATGCTTCATGGTGCCATATGTATTAGCTTCCCATTGCTATTATTAAGAAATTACCACAAATCAGTGGCTTCAAATAAAAATTTATTGCCTAGCATTTTTGGAGGTCAGAAGTCCTATAGTCAAAATGTATGTAGGGTAGTACTCCTTTAAGACTCTGGGGGGAATCTGTTTCCCTTCCTCTGCAAGCATCTAGGATAAGGTGACCAGATTTTAACATTGGTAAAGCGGGACAGCATTGATGGGGGGGTAGGCTAGTGGCTGAGCTGTTTATGGTTAGGGACCCTCTAGAGAGGCAGGGGCTACTTGTTTGTTCCAGACAGTTTAGCTCCTTCTGAGCTAATTGTCCTTGCCTAGAAGCAAGGGAGGGAGCCAGTATCCTTCTATACGGATTCCACCTGGGTGACCTTGCCCAGGAGGGGAGTAGGGATTTTACATTAGCCTTTTCATTTCCAAATGAAGTTACATTAACCTCTTCATTCCCAAATGGAGTTAGGTAACCTTTCCAGCAGCCGTATATTCCCTTCCTATTCTCCCGCCCTTCCCTAGCTTGTCGTGCATTCTTTCCAAAAATCAGGACTTTTTTAAAACACCAAGGGATGAGGGACAAATTGTTAAAAATCAGGACTGTCCCACCAAAAACGGGATGTCTGGTCACCTTAATCTAGGACCACCTGCATTCTTTCACTTAGCCCCTTCCTTGAATCACTCTGATCTCTGCTACCATCATTACATTTCTTTTTCTCACTCTGACCATCCTGCCTCCTTACTATATAGGCTCTTGGAATTACATTAGAACTACTGGATAATTCAGGATAACATCTCCATCTTAACATCTTTAACTTAATCCCATTCCCAAATCTCTTTGTTATGGAAGGTTCTGCAGATTCGCACGGGGACAACTGTGGGGAGGGGCTGTTCCTGCCACAGTATGTTAACTTAAAAAAGCAAGAAATGGTATGACCGCAAGTACTGCTAAATGTTAAACTCTAACAGTTAATTTCTGACAATGAGTTTTCATCTGTCAATCAGTGTCAAATGTGTCCTCGATGCCTCAGTTTTTGCCCATTGGATTAACAACAGAAGCCCTCTTTCTTTCTTGGTATCTTCTACCCCATAGTTCACCCTTCTCACCACTCTCAGCCAATATGCTTGACTCGCACCTACTCTTCTAAACCAAACTTTTAATTTCTTCACTCTGTTTGGCCTTTTAAGGTTTCTTGGAGGAAATCTCAAAGTGGTCCTTGTTATTCCAAGTGCATTCATGGCCTTCAACCTCTCTGGGGCCCTCACTTCCACGTTTCCACTGTCCATGCTGCTTCTTTCAGGGTATGTTACAAACTCCAACCCCATCATCCATTCTCTCAGTCTCTTGTAGCCGCCATCAAAAGTCATTAAAGAGAAGTCTATGTATGGGCTGGCCACGGTGGCTCAAGCCAGTAATCCCTGCACACTGGGAATCTGAGATGGGATGATTGTGGTGAGATCATAGCCTGCACACCACCACCACCATTAGCCTGGGTGACATAGTGAGACCCTGTCTCTACAAAAAATTAAAAAAGTTATTTTGGGTGCAATGGCTGCAAAATAACAAAAAGTTATTTTGTAATCAAGGCTGGAGAAAAAGGATTGCTTGAGCCCAGGGGTTGGAGGCTTCAGGCAGCTGTAATTGTCCCACTGCATTACTCCAGCTTGGGTGACAGAGAGAGATTGTCTCAAAAAAAAAAAAAAGAGGAGACAAAAAGATGTCTATGATTTTTATCCATTGTCCTAAAATCTCATGAATTCATTCATCCATTTTCCCTTCTTTTCTGTTACAGTGGGAAGGGCTTGCCCTCCTAAAGCTAAGCTAGAATCTGAGTCAACAACTGAGGATACCCACATTTGATTCACATCCATTTCTTCCTTTGTTTTATATGTGCAAGTTCTCTCCTTGAAATAGCATTCTGTAATTACTATTTCTACTACTTTACCATCCACTACATGAAACTTACTGACTTGTTAATCTTGTGGAATCTGGATTCTGTCCCTATAATTTCACTGAAACAGTCCTTGCTCTCCATATAGAAAAATTTGAAAACTGAGTTTATCATCAAACCCCACTCCAGTCTCATTCAGCTCTAGCACCCCTATGTCTTGCCATATACAAAAACTAATCCAAGATGGATAAAAGACTTCGATGTAAAGCATGAAACCATAAAAATTGTAGAAGAAAACATAGAGAGAACTTCCAGAATTAAGATCAAGGTGTTAGGAGGTTTGATTTCTGTGAGGCCTCTCTCCTGAGCGTGCAGTCAGCTGACTTCTCATGGTGCCCTTACATGGTCTTTACTTTGTGGGAGTGCATGCTTGGTGTATCTCTGTGTGTCCAAATTTCCCCTTCCTACAAAGGTATCAGTTAGATCGGGTTACAGCCCACCTTAATGGCTTTGTTTTAACTTAATGACCTCCATCTCCAAATACAGTCGTGTTGCAAGATACTCAGTGTTAGTTTTTCAACATATGGATTTTAGGAAGCGCACAACCTAAACTGCGACACAGGTCAAGCTACAGTTATGATGGCAACCACCAACCCTGTACCCTTCACGCCTTTGATGGTGGCACTGATTGTAGCAGTTATTCCAAGTGTGTGGCATTGCTGTGCTTTTCTGTTTTGGTGGATTTCTGCTTGACCTCTCCTACTAAGTAGCCCCAACTCCATGAGTTCACCCCAACTCCAGAGTTGGGTTTTCCCTTGTCATCTACTCTAAACATTGTTTTCTTTCAGTATGTCAATCACACCCATTTATATTTATTGATATAACACATGTTTGGCTGCAGTTCTTTTGTAGTATTTTATGCTATGGGTTAGTTTCCTATACACTAACTTTTATCCTTCAGGCTGAAACTTTAAAATTGGTATATGTATACTGTAAAGTATAAACATATTTACTATTAAAGTATATCTGCCTTGAATTACCTGTGAATAAATTCAGGAGCCTCCTAGAAAATTCTCTCTCCCTTAAAATGGGTACTGGGCCCTTGGAAGTCACTTGAAAGGAATAATCAGGCTCATATAGGAAGTGGTTATAGATAAGAAATAAGTAAAAAGAATATACACATATATATACATATATGTCTGTATGTATGTGTTTGTGTGTGTGAGAGAGAGACAAAGAGGAGAGAGAGGAGAACAGAGAGAGAAAGGGAGTTCTATTCTTTCTTAAATTACAGTTAATTAAAAAAAAATTGGCTTAGTATGAGGATACAATTAAGTTACATTATTTGGGTTGGTAAGGTAAAGCCCAAAGTCCAAGATATAGTTGTATCCTTCACCCAAGAAGTGTGCCATATACCCCTACACTGCACCTGAGAGGTGGGAACTTACTGAGCCCCCTGCCCCCTTCTTGAATTTAATTATGTTTTTCTCTCATGTGGGCCTGCAGTTGTTAATCTACTAGTTTCAGATTAGAACTGAGTATATAGATGTTTGTTTTTCCATTTTGTGATACTTTACTTAGGAGAATCTTTTCTCCAAAACTAAGTAAATACAAGAGATGTAAACATAACAGGATTTTATTATTTCTTAATTTTTTCTATGGCTGAATGGTATCCCGCATATACATATACCACAGTTTATTGATCCATTTACGGGTTGAAGGGCACTTGGCTTGTTTCCACATCTTTACAATTGTGGAGTAAGCTGCGATGGACATTTGCATGCAATGGTAAAATGATTGTTTTTCTTCTGGGTAGATTCCTAGTAGGGATTGTGGGATCAAATGGGAGGTTTACTTTTAGTTCTTCGAAGATTCTCCATACTTCTTCCCAAAAATGCTGTACTAGTTTCCAATCCCACCAACAGTGCATTAAGTATGCCCCTCTCTCTGCACACCCAACAGTATTTGCAGTTTTGGGGCCTTGTGATATGGGCTATTCTCACTGGTGTTAGCTGGTATTTCAGGGTGGCTTTGGTTTGCATTTTTCTGATGATTTGGGATGATCAACATTTTTTCCTGTGTTTGTTGGCCATTTGTCTGTCTTCTTGGGAAAAGGTTCTTCTGTTCATGTCACTTGCCATTGATTAATGAGGGTTGTCTCATTGATTGATGGGGTTGTTTGCTCTTTTCTTGTTGATTTGCTTGAGTTCTTTGTATATTTTGGTCACTAGCCCTTTATCTGATTTGTATATATTTATCTTTAAATGTAAGTTAAAATTAGAAAAAATTTTAAGGATTTTATTATTTTTTGATTTTTAAGTAATAATTTATAATTTATAACATTTTCTACTTTAATAATAATCATGGCCACAGACTCTGTAAATTAGCTTTTCAAAACAATTATTCTTCTGGAATTATCAAAAAGATACACATTTAAGAAATTAGGCCATTATAGGAAAGAACCTGGGTTCAATAAACCCATTTTCAACAGGTAATAGAAAAAAATAAGAAGGGAGTTGCCAGTGTTGTCAGGAATTTGAAATGTACTGCGCAAGACATCATGTTTGGAGTTGTTTGGTCTTTATTCAAGTTTGAATCTAGGAAAAGTTTCACACAATTCAATCAGGAGATCCAAATACATTTAGGGTTTTGACTAAAATTGACGGCATTTTATTAACATTGCCTATTTCAGGCAACTGTGACATTATTGCAATAGGAAAACATGGACCCATCTACCCCTTGGGCCCACATGGTGGCCTAAATTCATGGTTCCAGCCACCTTTAGGGATAAATGCCCCAAATCTTTGCTCTGTGTCTGCTTCTTTGACTTTAACATATTTTTAACAAGAAGCATAATAGGATTTTTATTATTTTTTGATTAGATGGAGTAATAATTACAAAATAATTAACAACGACCAATTTTGGTTTTAAAACATAGAAAAGGGGGGAATAATTCTTTAAAACACAATGAGGATGAGTTATTTTGGAATTTTTATACATATTTGCATATAAAAGGTGTCCTCTTCCAGGGTAGGTGGGTGATGGCACTGCTTCCAATGCCTGGTGGGGTGGGGTCGGGGGTAACAAGTCTTCAATAGTGCTCAATCCAGCTCTTCCATTTAGACTTGGATTTCATTCCAATTTAGGCTTCTCTTTCTCTTCTTCCATACCTAGAAATACAGGCAAAGAGCTTTATTTGATCATAAGATTAACCCATGAGCAGGTTTGCCAAAAGGCTGCTTTCAAAAATTCACATCCCCTCCCTTCTCCCATCCACCCTTACCACCCACGCCCTTTGCCCCCTCCTAGCTAAGAAGGAAAGCCATTTATGACTTTTTCCAGAAACTTCTTCAGTGACTTTTCTCCCCACCCATTCTCCAGAATCAGGCCACATTTCTGGGATACACCCAGCTCCTTTGGCCTCTGGGAGAGAGGGCTGCAAGTGGATTTGTGACTTGCTGAGCTTGCGCGGAACTTCAGCCAGAATACTTTCTAAACAGTGTCTAGCAACAGAACCAAGGTGCAATGTGCAGCTCATGACCCGCCAGCAGACTTGATTTATTTTTGCTTTAGTCCTGTCCTTTCCCAAGGCAAGGACTCTGAATATTCAAAAGCCAAAAAGCATTTTTTTAAAGCTCATAAAAAGCTTATTAGCCAAAGAATTACTTATAAAAGATACCCACGTATCTTTAACTCAAGCTACCCCTTTATTCAACCCTGTCTGGTGGAACTGTTTTTCTTCTGGAAGGACCCATATGTGCTGCCTCGGTGAGACCTTTCCCGGTTGCTTGTGGTGAATAGACATGTTTCATTTTCCTACAGATGAAATGATTCAAGTCATTCTCATGAATTATCATTAAATTGGGCAAATACTCCTCAGTTCTTTTTTCTTTGGCTTCTCGCTAAACGTTTTTCCAATCACACCAAAGTCTTAGAGACTTCTTGTTTGTTTTGTTTCAACAGCAACAGGGCAACAAAAGAACTCAAAATATTATTTTGCAGTTTAATATTCTTTCACCAATTGCAGGCTCTCTGAGGACAGGGCCCTTCCTTGTGCTCCTGACTATATGCCCAGCACTTAACATAGTGCCCACCTCAGAGTATGAACTCAATCAGTCTTTGTTGAATACATTAATAACGAATATATAGAAGGCCCCCAAAGGCTGGACTAGTGGAGAGCAGTAGAATAAAATATGGGAATGTACACTATTATAAAGTCTGACCCTGGAGGGTCGTAATGATAGGGTTACATTAGGAAGGACCCACCCTCCACTTCTGCCTCCTAGTATATGTCTTGTGAGGTCAGAGTGGTGGCGAGATGCTCTAAACAGGCGTCCATAGTCTTCTATGTTTAGTTTTCATGGCTAAGAACTGGTGGAGATTTAGAACACTTTTCCCAAATTCCTCCTCAGAAATCATACTTAGGAAAAGTTTAAACTGAGGCGTCAGGACATCCAAAGGGAGGAAGAATAGGGTTGAGGGCGAGAAGGTACAATATGGCTTAATTGTTGCTCAACCAAGGCAAAGGCAGAAACACAACACAGATTCCATTAACCATTACGTGTGACTGGAGTTCCAGCTTCCCTCTCACGTCCCCTGTCTGCTATCAGGGGCCAATAGCAGTTCGGTTTTCTTTGTAAAGTCTGTTTCTTCCAAAGCATTCTCCTGTAGATGGGCTGGCCTGGCAGTAGATGTGGAATCTTCAAAAGAAGGTGCTGGAGAACAAGGGGTGTTCATTGGCCTAGAGAAGGAAAGTGGCTTCCCACTACTTTGGTTTGGCAGTTATGAGGGAGAGGGAAAAAAATGAGATAGCTCTAAATGGTTGGAAGACCCAGGGGTATAATTTCCACACAAAAAGCAGAAAGAAACCTGTTACAAAGCTGAGGCAAGATGCACTTAGGGGAACCCCGGGAAAAAGACTGATAGGCCCGAGGGAACCAGTCACATGGCCTTCCTGAGGGCTGACATGGGGGCAGGCCAGCTAGGAGTGATCCGAGGGGAGGCTGGAGGAGAAGGAAAGTGGAGGTTTCTGCTCACTGAGAACTCGTGTACTTCACCCTCACCCCAACCTTTTGGTTTTGAGAACTCTCATTTCTAGTCTTATAAAATTTGACACTGACAAGACTGGACACCTCAGTCAGATACACTGGAATAAGGATAGAGACTGAGATTAAGTACACAAATATGTCAGGTGTTCTGGGTTGAATTGTATCCCCCCTCCCAAATTCATATATTGAAGTTAACCCACAGTATCTCAGAAGGGGGATAATGCCAAGGGTGTGTCTGCACAAGTATCTCCTAAAGAAAGTAGGTGTGTAACTCAGAGACCCAATCAACCATCTCTGCAGAAGCCAGAAATAGAGAGGTGGTCACCCAGGATGGGCCTTGTCTGACCGCCACCACTCTGAATATGTCACAAGACATATTCTAGGAGCTGAAGTGGAGGGTGGGGTCCTTCCTCATAATCATCAGTTCAGGTGCTGATTCCCCCTTGGTTGCAGAGGGTGGGGCTGCGACCCAGAGCTGAGGAGGCAGGGAAGCTGTTACCAGTGCCTAGAAGGTGAGCCCTGAGCACAGACCACCCAGTCAAAAAAGATTAGTCTCAAGCCTCAACAGCAAATGGAAATTTCTCGGCTAGCTTTCAGACTTGCTTGGGCATCATGACCCATTTTTCTCGCCTGTAGTTTCTCCTGTTTAGAATGGGAATGTGTAATATATTCCATGCCTGCCCCACTATTGTGTTCTGGAAGGAGAAAACTTTTTATCTGGTTTCCCAGTCTCGCCTATTGCTGGGGGACAACTTTGCTTCAGGATGAATCATACCCCAAGTCTCACGCATACCTAATTTTTGTATTTAAGATGAGATTTTGCACTTAACTATGAGTTGATGTTGGAAAGACTTCTGGAGCTATTGGGAGAGGGGTGTTTTTACTGCATGAAGAACATGAATTTGGGGGGCAGAGAAGGTGGTGTTATAAGCTGAATGTATCCCCCCAGAATTCAAATGTTGAAGTACTGCCCCTCAGTGCCTCACAATGTGACCTTACTTGGAGACAGGGTCTTCATAAAGTTAACATAAGATCATCAGGGTGGGCCCTGATCAAATACGACTGGTGTCTTTGTAAAAAGGAGAAAATCTGGAGACAGTGTCACATATAGAGAGAACCCCAGGAGAGAGGCCTGGGACAGATCCTTCTTTCACGCTTCTCACCTGGCACCAATTCTGCCCATCCCTTGATTTTGGACTTCTAGCCTTCAGAAATATAAGTTGATACATTTCTATACTCTGTTATAGGAACCTTTACAACCTAGAGCAAATTCCATAAAGCCATCTTGGGTGATTTGGTTGTAAAAAGAGCAAATGCTTGACTATTAATTCAGTTTATTTTAAGGGCTTTAAGAAGTTTATATTTCACATCAGTTCGGCCTGCTTTGCTATTTTATGAGCTAGGTGTATAGTTGGGAGGGAAGTTTCTGAGCTCTCACATGTCTAGGTTTCTAAAATGTGGTGACATTTTGATAGCTCACTGGAAATAACGCTGAATTGAACATCAGTTAGAGGACATCGGCTCTGCCGCCACCCATTCAGGGTGCAGTTGCTTCAAGGATTAGGTAAGGGTCAGTATGGATGATGGTTCTGTAGTAAGGCAATTTTATCTTGAAATTGTAAGCTAACATTACATAAGGAAGCAAGTCGAGTCACTAGAAACCATTATGGAAAATAAAAGACAGTGGCTTACACACAGCATCCTTCTTCATGGGGGACTTTGTAGTTGGTGTGTGACAACCAGGTTGTAATACTGTATTCCATTGTACTCGGTTCATTCTAACACATGTGCATACACGTGTTACACAGCACACACTGCTTTTAATCAGCAGTTTCCAGCTCACCCACTAGGAGAACCAGGCAGCTAATGGGACTTTGAAATGGTCAGGCGAGATCTAGGGATAATTATAGAACCATCGAAAGTGGGCAACTGATACTCAATCCCGACCTATTGTTGCCAGAAGAGAATAGTGGGCTCAGTGTTTCCAGAGCTTCCAAGGCTTGTGAAAAAGTGGAAAATCTGGCTTTTATGTGAAATCTCCCAGTTTTTAAATGTTGGCTCAAAACCAAAATATCCCACTGTGTAGGCCTAATAAAACGTCTTGGTAAGTAAAATTTGGGGGAGGCCCTCAGTTTGTGAGCCCTCTTGTAAAATGAGGAAGATGCCTGCTTGACACAAAACATCTGTCTCTGTGGAAGGAACTAGATGATCCTTTGTAGATAAAACTAATCTCTCTATCTGAAATGAGTTACAAAAGGTTAGTCAACTCTGACTCATTTTACTTAAGAGGGTGGCACCGATAAATTAAATTGGGACAGAGCATTCATGAAACCTTAGTTTCATTATTCCTGTGTACCGCTGTACCGTCTCATTCAAGGCTGCTAAAAGGCAGTATTCTATTAATCTAGATTGGACATTTATCTCTGCTGGACATTTATCTCTACTACAAAAGTAGGAGAACTATGGCCAAATGACTGTCAAATCAAACAAATCAAGAGGAAGCAGGGAGTCAGAAGTACTTCCTGAATAACATGTATTGGACATATTAGTTTAAATCTTAGTTTCCCCCAAGAAACTAAGGAAAGCTTACATTTTGTTCTCAAAATATGTTTATGAGTTAACTAAATACTTCCATTAATTAACAAATAGAGAAAGATTACTATTCCCCACTGAATAGGTGGGAACATTGTTAAGACATTAATTTATGGTCTTGAACTGGATAAAAAAAAAAAAAAACAGACCCTTTTTCTAATAGACCACTTGTTAACATCGAAAGCTGCTGAGACAAGAAGTGTTCAAACTCCTCTGGCCCATTTAACATGGCTAGTACCTCGACACGTACAATTTGAGAAGATCCACACACAAAAAAGGTCTGATTCCATCCCCATGAAATGACTGTGCTTTATTTGTCTGATTAGGCTGAGTTCCTGGCAAAGTGTCTGGCACAAAGCAGGGTGCTCAGTGTCTGTGACACCAAGTCCATTCACTGGTGATGTCTAGAGTGCTGGAACTGTGTCGGAGGAGATGTCCAGGGCTCTCTACATCCCCAAACCATCTTGCCTTTGGCTGTATTTTCATGCAGGCCTTAAATCACTACATGTCTGTGCTGTCTCTTTTTCCATCATCCAATTTTTATGTTATCTTAGGTACACTTTGGACAGGTTTTGCACAGCTTGAATAAGATTACATGCCTTGCCAAGATGGAGGCTCTGCCATAAATGGAAACAAAAGAGAAATCAAATCATAGGTTAAGAGAATTTCTGCAGCATTGAAGCATTACCCTTTACTGCACGTACGTCTTTGCCACTTTCAACCCATCAATATGACAGCGAATATTGAGAGACACTGTAGTCATTCTAGGTTGCTTAGAATTTGTGCAGAGTGACAGTGAGACCTCATGGAAATGGCGGCATAGAAAGTGAAGTGGTGATCTGAGTGACTGTCAATGAGATTTTGGTTACATTTAATAATGTATGTATTTAATTTGGGGTCCCTTTAGCTAAGGCAGCATTTTTTTTTTTTTTTGCAATTTTTGGCCAGGGCTGGGTTTGAACCTGCCACCTCTGGCATATCGGGCCAGCATCCTACTCCTTTGAGCCACAGGTGCTGCCCCGCTAAGGCAGCATTTTGTTAAACAGAGTGAACTTCTCTAAGTTTTTTCTATTAACACTACATTTTTCCCCATAACTTTTATAGACATCCTTCTTTCCTCTTTAGGTTTGGATGTCTTACTAGCTAATAAGACTGACTGACCAGTAAACCTTTCAGGTAACTGCCAGCAGCTCTTAAATTACTATTGCAGTTATTAAAATGAAACTCTTCCTAAGAGGCCTTTTTTTTTTTTAACTTTGTGTGGTTAAAAGGTTAAAAGAAGAGGCCACAGTGGACTGTCCATCAGTCTCTGCCCATGCTCTCGTCAGCAGTAATTCTCTTGCTTTACGCTCCCCTAAGCAATCCTTACCTTTCTGTGTATCCCAGATATAGTTGTTCAGAACTTCTCCCAGCAGGTACATAAAGTTCATTAGGATGGTTGTAGACCCAAAGAAGATGATTCTGGCTCCAGGGCCAATGTGTTCCAGGAAAGGGTACACCCACATGCCTGTTACGTGATGCACCCAGCACACCCTGCAATGAAATTGGAAAGGAGACAAAGACAGGAGTCACCCTTGTGGCAGATGACAAAGCTGCTGTGTTGCTAACGTACGCTCCCCCACTTGCACCGTTCTTCAGCAGTTGCCAGTCTCAAATTTGCTTCCTATACTCAGGAGCTACCGGAAACTTTGTTGTTCTTTGTTTTCTCTTACTTTTTAGCCCCCAATAATTTTAGACTTGGAGAAGTTGTGCCTAGAGTACAGAGGGTTCCCCTGCATCCCACACACACCTTACCCTTGGGCTAACATATCGTATAAATAATCCTGGGATGATCACTCAAATTAAGAAATTGGCTGGGTGCCGTGGCTCAAACCTGTAATCCCACCACTGTGGGAGGCTGAGGTGGGAGGATCGCTTGAGGCCAGGAGTTTAAGAACAGCCTGGGAAACAAAATGAGGTCTCATTTCTATAAAAAAGTTAGCTGGGCATGGTGGTGCATGCCTGTAATCCCCATCCAGCTACTCAAAAAGAAAGAAAAAAAATTATAACTGACACAATAGTACTACGTATGAACTTTATACAGCTTCACTAAGGTCACCACAAACATCCTTTTCCTGTTTCAGGATCCAATCTGGGACTCCACGTGGTGTCTAGTCATTGTGTCTCCCTCTTCTGGTCTGGCAGTTCCTCAGTGTCCCCTTGCCTTTGGTGACATTTGAAGAGTTCTGGTCATGTGTTTCAAACTGTTAGCTTTCTTAATTCTGCTAAACAATCCTTTAAATCTCCTCTTACGTAATGAAACAACATGGCGTTAGGCAGCCACACTCTGAGACCTTGTAGCAGTGTCTGGCACATAGTATGTACCCAATAATTGTGTGTTGAATTCATAACACATTCTTTTATTTCAGGAATATTAACAATAACCTCTACTTACTGAGCCCTTATTACACAGCATTTTGCCAATAACTTACACATCATTTTAAAAATCTCAACTCCCCCTGAAATCTCTATGTCCCTAGCCACTGTCTTTAAGTCAAGTACTTTCTGTGAAGAGCTAAGTAGTAAGTATTCTCAGCATTGCAGCCCATACGGCCTTGGTTATACCTACTCAGCTCTGCCACTGGAGTGCGGAATAGCCACACACAGTATGTAAACAGCCAAGTGTGGATGTGTTCCACTAAAACATTATCTATGGACACTGAAAAATAATTTCACATAATTTTCATGTCATAAAATATACATCCTTTTATTTTTTCAATTATTAAAAATATAAGACTCATTCTTAGCTTGCAAGTCCTAAATACAACCTTTTTGGAAGGAAGTACGGAGAATCCTCAAAGAACTCAAATTAGACTTCCCATTTGATCCTGCAATCCCATTACTAGGCATCTACCCAGAAGGAAAAAAAAAATCCTTTTATCATAAGGACATGTACACTAGACTGTTTATCACAGCTTAATTTACAATTGCCAAAATGTGGAAACAGCCTAAATGCCCACTAACCCAGGAATAGATTCACAAGCTGTAGTATATGTATACCCTGGAATACTACTTGGCCATGAAAAGATGGAGACTTTACATGTTTTGTATTAACCTGGATGGAGGTGAAGCACTTTCTTCTTAGTCAAGTGTCACAAGAACCCAATGTACTCTATTCTAATATGAAGGCAGTAGATGAGCTAATACAAAGCGGGGGGCGGTAGGGGAATGTGCAAGTGGGGAAAGGGGAAGGGGGAAGGGAGTGGGGGGTCACAGTGTATGGCACACCTCTTGGGGGCGGGACACAATTATAGGAGGGACTTTATTTAACAAATGCAATCAGTGTAACCTAATTCTTTGTACCTTCAAATGAATCCCAAACAATAAAAAAAAAAAAAGAGAGAGAATCACACACCCACACACAAGCATCAAGGTCATCAATGACAAGGAAAGACTGAAGGACTCTTCCAGATTGGAGAAAATGAAAGAATCATGAAAACCAAATCCAATATAGGATTCTGAATTGGATCCTGGAATGGGAGAATGATTTTAGTGCTAAAGTTGGTAAAATTCAAATAAATCTGTAGGTGTATTACAAAAATTTTTAAAAAGTATATAAAACCCATCCTTAGCTTGCAAATCCTGAAACAAACAAAACGGGTGGTGGATTGGGTTTGGCGATGGGCTGTTGTTGGCTGACTCCGACTTCAAGTAATTCTTTGTAGTTCACAGAGCTCCTTTGTGCACCTTATGCCACCTAGTTTTCTCAGCAATCCTGGACGTAGCCTGACATTTTCATTTTACTGATGTAAATATCAGAATTTATAGAGTATAAATGAGAACACGTCGGAGCTGCTGATGCAGACTCTCAGGTCTGAGACTCGCAGGGGAGGGAAGTGGCGTGTACCCTGGAGCGTGACGCTTATAAACATGGCACATCATCTCCTTTACTTAATATGATCACCCCATTAGGTACAATTATTCCCTTTTCACAGATAAGGAAACTGAGACCAAGTGCCAAGTGGGGTGGTTCAAATGTGTAATCCTAGCACTCTGGGAGGCTAAGGCAGGAGGATCCCATGACCTCAGGAGTTCGAGACCAGCCTGAGCAAAGTGAGGCTC